CATTTTAATGAATGATTATATTAGTTTAATCTGTTATTAGACAAAAAAAAAACATACAGATTAGATAGAATAAAAGAAAATATAATTGTCAACTACTTTATCTTAGGCAATGAAAGATTGATTGGTTGGTTAGCTGAATTAGCTAATCATACACATCAATATTATAATGATTCCGATCCAACATCTGGTCCAACAAAAACATCAAAATATATAACAGCACTTTATTTTACTTTTTCTTCTTTGACATCAGTCGGTTTTGGCAACGTGAGGTTCGCTAAATATTCTATCCTAAAATTTTTTTTTTGTTTTTATTCACAAATTTAATCTTTCTCTAGTCCAAATACGAATAGTGAAAAGGGTTTTTCAATAATAATCATGCTCGTAGGATGTGAGTTTATTGTTTTTCTTTTTTTGTTTGCTTTAGTTAAGTTCTCATCTGTTTATCAATGTTGTGTTGTTTTTTGTGTTCGCTTAGCTTATTGTTTTAGGATCACGCATAACATGGCTTGATGAACTAGCACGTATATCTGGTCAACCATATAATTGTTCATCAATATTAAATTATAATAGAACAAATTTAACTATAGAAATATGTCATGGTGGACCTAGTCTTCGTTCACAATATGTCACTGCTCTTTATTTTACTTTTTCATCTCTAACAACAGTTGGATTTGGCAATGTAAGAAAGAAAGAGATTTGTACTAAATGAATATATATATATATATATATTTCTTTTTTATTTATATATATACAGGTTAGTCCTAATACAGATTCGGAAAAGATTTTTTCCGTTTGTATTATGTTAATCGGATGTGAGAGAATGCATGAAAATTTTTTTTCTTAAAGCATGCGATTGTTGTTGCTTTATGTATATCTTTATATGAATTATTGTCATATTGTATAAATATATTTTCTTTTTTTAGCTTTAATGTATGCTAGTATATTTGGTAATGTTAGTGCTATTATTCAACGACTTTATTCTGGTACAGCTCGTTATCAAATACAGATGTTGAGGTATATTTATTAATAATAAATAATATCTCATAATGTCTATGATATCATTCTATAAATAGAGTAAAAGAATTTATTCGTTTTCATCAAATTCCCAATCCATTACGACAACGATTAGAAGATTATTTTAATCATGCATGGAATTATACGAAGTAATAGATAATATGCTATTATGATTTATTTAATCTTTGATTTTTTTTTAAATTTAATTCTTCTAGTGGTATTGACATGAATATGGTGCTTAAAGGTTTTCCTGAATGTTTACAAGCTGATATTTGTCTTCATTTAAATAGTCAATTACTTAAAAATTGTCCTGCATTTAAAGGTTAATCAATATTTTTTTAATTTTATTTTGTATTTATTTTATTTATTTATTTTTAGATGCTAGTGAAGGTTGTTTACGAACATTTTCAATGAAATTTAAAACAACACATGCACCACCAGGTGATATAATAACACATCGTGGAGATATATTAACATCATTATATTTTATTTCACGTGGTTCAATTGAAATATTACAAGATGATAATGTTATTGCTATTCTAAGTATATTTAATTTATAATTATTTTTTATTTATTTATTTATTTATTTATTTATTTTGTTAAGGTAAAGATGATATTCTTGGCGAAAATCCTGTATTATATAGTGAACCAGGAAAATCTGCATATAATGTTCGTGCATTAACATATTGTGATTTACATAAAATTTTACGAGATGATTTACTTGAAGTTATTGATATGTATCCTGAATTTGCACAAAGTTTTTGTCAAAATTTAAAAATAACATTAACATTACGAGATGTAATTATAAGATTTTTGTTTTTTTTTTAATTCAAAAAAAAATAATTTATTTTGTTTTTTGTTTTTAAAGGAAGATCTTGTTGCAAAATCAAATGAATGTCGATCAAAATATCTTCCAAATCAAAAAAAATATCGAGGAGGTTAGTATTTCAAACAATTGGTTGTTTTTTTATTTTCTTAGTTTTATTTCGTTTGATTTAGGTAGTAATCGAACAGATGATGATAATATATCACTAATAGGTCCACAATTCGATGAATATCCTAGTGGAGCAGGTAAGAAAATCCTTTTTTGAAGAAGTTCTCAATATGTCCTTTTATATTATATGATATAAATTATTGCATTTTATAATAATTTTATTAATAGGATGTTAATTCTTAAAAATATTGAACCGATGAATATATTAGATAAGAATTCTCGATTAATACGAAATGAATTTTTCATATTCAAAAATCTTTTTGAGTCGAATCAAAATATGCAAACTGAAGTAGAAAATTTCAACTATATTAGAGATGAAGAAAGTTGACATATTTTTAGGATTAAAAAGGAATTATAAATCACTTATGTGGATTATTGTATCATATGTTAAACAGAACTAGAAATGTCTTCTGTAATTATTTATATATTCATTTTTAAATCAGTAATTTATTTGTTTCTTTTTTAAAAAGCGAAGAAAGAAGTGCGTTGCCAGATTTCTGATTCTAAATCTTTGATATCTAAGAATCGGAAATATAGATTTCTTTTGGGATCAAAATTGCCGATAACGATTCCGATCCAGAATCACGCATTCCTACTATTGACATTATACAAGCATAACATTAAGTTGAAGTTTGACAGCTTAGAGACATGTCATAAAATATATTGATAACGTCAATTGATTATTAGTAATGTGATTGGTTAAATCAAAGAATAAGAAAATACTAACGAGGGAAGGTCTCCAACTGATCTACGCTTTTTTCAATAATATGTTGTCTATGTATCGAGACCATTATTCTAAGAAAAATCGTAAGAGGGTTTGGGCTAATGCTGTTTCCTTCGAAGGTTATGGCCATTTTACTAATTTTTCGACTTATGGTAAGTAATTTACAAAAAACCGAATAACGCAGCTTTGTCCATATGTCGGTCTCATGATCTTCATTATACGCTAAAAGTTTCAGCGAAAACGAATGTTTGTTTCTCGAGATAATGAATTTGCCATAAATATCCGCATTTCATAGAGATCTCAGAAAGATCAAGTTTTTTTGGATATTCATTATGTTGGGAATGGCACGTTTGTTTTTGCTGAAACTTTTAGTGTATACTAAGGACTATGAGACGTACATATGGCTCAAAATTTCGTTATTCGGTTTTTTGTAAATATTTTGCTATAGGTCGAAAAATCAGTAAAATGGTCAAAATCTTCGAAGGAACCACCATCAGCCCAAATCCTCTTAGGATTTTTCTTAAAATAATGATCCCAATATATGGATAAAACATTATTGAAAACAGCGTGGATCAGTTGGAGACCTTCCCTCATAAGTATGACCTGAAATATTTTAAAAATAGATTATGAATAAATTAAAAATAATGATTGAAAAATATATTTTATTAGTTTTCTTTTTGATAATGCATAAAATTTTCATAGTTCGATAATAAATTAGTAATAATCTTGTATATGATTTTGTTTTATCAATCCGAATAATATAATCATTATATTCGTGAAAAGATAATTTTTCCAATAGATTTAAATATTTATTAATATTTATATTTTATCAAACATACCATTGGGTTGATTCAAATTTTCAAAATCTCTCACATCAATAATAGTTATTTCATATATATATATCTTTTGTTATAAATGACATGAGTTTCATTTAATTGTATTCGAACAAAAACAATAAAATATTTTTATTCTTATGTTAAGTATGATTATTCGATTTGTCTTATTTAAATTGGGATAATGACAGAAGCCTCTTTTTATTTAAATATACTGGCTAGGATAATAATAACAATTTAATGAAATCAATAAGCATTACAATAGAATAAACATACACAAACCAAGACAGAATATTATACATAGAAGGTTTTTAAGAAATAGAAAATGTTTTAAACAGTTGGAGGCTTGTAGGTGTCGGATGTTATATCTTCGACTTTAGTTGGTATTGTACTTCAACGAGGTGCATTAGAATCATTTGATGCTGATACATTATGAGCAGTACCTTTTGCTGATACATGTACATTACTTTGATGTTCATTTTTTTCAGCTACAAAGATCAAATTTAATTAAAAATTAATTTTCATTTAAAAATTATTTTACCCTTTTGTTGAGCATCTTGTTTGAGCTCTAATTATCAAAGCAGAAAAAAAAAGACAATCAAAAATAAAAATTCTTTTTTTAATAGATGCTATACCTTGTCCTTTCTTTTGAGCATCAGATGCTAATTCATTAGCTTTTTTTTTTCCTTCATCAATTTTGTCCGATGCTTGTTCTTTCAATTCAGCTCCTATTCGATGTAAAAAGAATTTTTAAAGAATATTGTATTCAATTAAACAGAATATTTTTCTGTTCTTTTTCTACCTTTTTCTTTGGCCTTATCGGCTGTTTCTTCGGCTAGATAATGGAAAAAACATGTTTTCATGATTATGTTGTTTTTTTATTTTTTTAATAAAAATTTACCCTTCGCTGAAGCTTCGCCTGCCAATCCAGTAAGACTAAAACAAAAAAAAAAACAAACATAGCAAACAATTAGACGGAAACAAAATTAGCAAAACTAAAAATACCTATGAATAGCGTCTTGCGCTGATTGCATAGTAGCTGTACCGACTTCAGAAGCTTTTTCAGCAGCCTAAGAAATAAACAAAAAAAATGTATCAAAAATAAGAAAAACGAAAAATCAACTAACCCATTGTCCAGCAACAGTAAGTTTTTCACCAACAAAACTAGCTGCATTAGCAGCAGCTTCTGGAATATTTTGAACAGTTTCAACAACCTAAATAGTTATATAAATTTAAGAAAAAACAATATAATACAGTAAAATTTCTCATAGTAGAC